GGGGACTCCTGTGGCCCCCGGGCTGGGCTGGGCTGTGCCAAATTTCCGGGTGTTGTTTCCAAGGCCGTGGTCCCCTCCTGGCAGAGGGTCTGGCACTGTTCTGTCAGAGCCCTGGAGATCCCAGTGGGTGGGAGCACCCCAGCAGGGCAGGGTTCGGGGGGTGCTGCGCTGCACGGGGGGGTCACTGGTCCCATGTCCTCTTCTCCTGGAGGTGACGGAGCACGGGAAGGCGGCCATGGGTGACCTCCGGCCTGGGGATGTCATTGTCACCATCAATGGGGAGAGCACGGCCGAGATGCTCAACGTGGAGGCACAGAACAAGATCAAGCAGAGCCCCGGGCAGCTCCGGCTGGAGGTGGAGAGGTGGGTGCTGGGGGCAGCCCGAACACCTCCCCTGGGTGCCAGCGGTGCTGGGGTCCCCAGCCACGTGTGAGTCACTTGTTCCCCCTCAGCGGCCCTTGGGGCGATGCCATCCCCGCGGGAGCCCATCCCGGCTCTCTAATTAAGGAGCCGGGTGCTAACGAGGCCGGGCAGCGCTGGCTGCCGTTACCTGGCCGACAGGTCCCGGTTGGGGACCCAGCTGCTGCCTCACCGCCGGGGAGGGTCACACGGTGCCGTGCACAGGGTTTTTGTGCTCCTGGGGCTGATTCCAAACCCTGCTGCTCTCCCTTGGCCCCCAGGTCCCCGGTGCCATCTCCCAGCCACACCAACGGGGACACCTCCCCTGAGAGGTTGGCCACACGCTTCCAGGTGAGCCCTGGGCAGCCCCCGCGCACCCCGGCCCCCCACCCAGGGCTGGCGGCAGCTGGTGGTGTCACCCTCCCCTCCCCAGGACATGCTGCAGATGCAGAGTGAGAGCCAAGGTACCCTGAGAACCCTCGATCCCGGCCTGGCATCCCTCACCCACCCACCGGGCAGTGCCAGGTAAGGCTGCACCGGGCTGTGTGTGGGGCTGGGGGGTGGGGAAGGGTCTGGGGAGGGCCAGGGACCCCCCTGAATCTCTGTCCTCTCCCCCAGCTCACAACGCTT